GGCAGAGAATTTACCTAGGATTCACAGAGCCCTAGGCAAGTCTTAATCCTGCAAAACAAGTGAGATCTTGTAACACATAAAAGTCTGACCTGTCATTTTCAAAAGGCAATGTGAGTTCCAGAACAACCTAGACATCATTGGGATGTAAATAAAAAATAATAATAATTTTAGTTCATATCAACTTCTAAAACTATTTTGAGTGCAAGTACAAGTATCAGTTGATTTACTTTCTATCATAACTAAGGAAAATTGCAACTATAACTATCTAGTCTTCAACTCCATCAAAGACCCACAAGGATGTAATATTATCTAACAACAGAGACATTTGGCTGCCTGGACAGTCACCCAAAGTTCCTCTGCAATGTTGGAGCATCCATCTTCTGCCTACAGGCCCAGAGTATCTGTCAAAGTTTTCAGTGAAGCAGGAATTTTGAAAGGCTGGCCTGCCTTGTTTTGGCAAAGTTCAACTGCCTTTTTCCTGTGTGTCCTTATGTCCAGTCCACACAGCACATTGTCAGCAGTCAAAAGCAAGAGCAGTTTCTTTGCCCAGTGGCTAACCTTGCCACAGTGAAAGCAAACTCCATAAGGAGTTTATTCAATGCCCATCATCTCTGAAATAAATTGGTGCTGCCAGAAGCAGATGTTTCTCATTGCCATGAAGAACCTTAAGCTAACAAAACATTTTAAATGTCATATTCTATAGGTCTTTGAAGTGTTTGAAGACCATTTAATCTAAAATAGACCTAGTTAACCTTAAAAACATATGACAAGTTTAATTATTATTTATTATTTAATTATTATTTAATATAAATAATTATTATTTAATTATTGTACATTAACTACTAACCTCATTTCTTATTTATACAGTATATTTTTAAATGAACTGCATAAGCACAATACCCCAAGCAAGAGTAGAAATATACAGTGTAACAAAATTAAAGTTGTATCAATATACCAAAATCCATGCCAATGCAAAATATCTGAAGTTAATAGTTATCTTTTGGTCATATATATATATATATATATATATATATATATATATATATATATATATTTGGCTTTTCGAGACAGGGTTTCTCTGTGTAGCTTTGCGCCTTTCCTGGAACTCACTTGGTAGCCCAGGCTGGCCTTGAACTCACAGAGATCCACCTGGCTCTGCCTCCCGAGTGCTGGGATTAAAGGCGTGTGCCACCACCGCCTGGCCAGGTCCTATATTTTTATATTCCCCTAAATTATAACAAGCATCTGTAACCCACCAAATAACCAAAAGCCTCCCATAGCCCTCTTGGGAATGTGGGCATTGTGTTCTCCAAACTGCTTCCTACTGTGGATGAAGATACTGTGGATGAAGTATCTTTAGGGTCCCTGAGAAAATTTTGAGATAATGACTGAGTCTGTAGTTGAAAGACCAGCAGTAACCTTTGTTGATATATATCACCTGGCAAGGTTCAGGAGGTCTCCCTTGATCAAACCTGATCCATATTAACCTGGAACTAATCCACAGCCTCTCATCTCCTATGGGAACAAAACTCCACAGCATTTTTGATTTCCATTTGACAAATATATTTTTGACTTCTTTTTTAAAGTTAAGATAGCCCTAAAGTATCTAAATTGGTTCAGTTTTGCAGTCCTGCTCACAAAGCTGTCTCTTGCCCATCAGCCATCAAAAAATTCAAAATCAACACAATAACATACAGGATCCAGACTCCCCATGCATTTCCCATTGTTACATAGCTTTTTCTTTTATATTACTTTTACTCTCTATTTATAAACTTTATTATTTTTAAACTATTTGTATCTTTCCATGACTGTTCATACCCTTTTTCTTTCTTTCCTAAGCCTGTGCACATTGTAAAACACACTGGAACCTGTTTAGAGGGTTTTTTTCCATCTGCACATTTTTTACTGTGTATCTTTTAGCCTTTTTTGTTTGCATGAGCAAAAAAACTGCTAAGCAGAGTGGCTTTGGATCTCCACCTGCAGCTTTGGTGGCAGGCCATGCCCCCTTCCAAATTGAGAGAGCCAAGCCTAAAGCTTGCGGCCTGGTTGGAGGTTTGTTTGACCAGGAACTGCATTAACCCTTCCTAGCTATGGAAGCTGGTACCTGCACTGTCCCAAATGGTTTTTACTTACCTTGCTGTATTTATTTAATGGTACCACTAAACAGTAGCACCTCTTAAAGGTGCCAGTGTTTTCTTTCTCTTTCTTCTTTTTCTTTTTCTTTTTTTTCTCAGTTTTCTCAGGACCTACATGGAAATTCAGCCGACACTGGTAAGTCAAAATGTTGTTGGTTATTTTCTTTTACTCTTTAGGGCCCACCACCCAGCTGCCAAGTAAATCACACAGAGTGTTGTTCTAAATTATAAATACCTGACCTTAGCTTGGCTTGTTTCTTGACAGTTTTTCTTAACCTAAATTAGGCCATCTACCTTTTACCTTTTCTTACTTCTGTATATCTTACTTTCACTCTTACTCCATGACTGACTGGGTGGCTGGGTGGCTGGGTGGCTGGCCCCAAGCATCCTCCTCTCCTTGTTCTCTTGCTTTTTCTTTTTCCTAGATTTCTCCTCCTATTTATTCCCTCTGCCAGCCCCACCTATCCTTTCTCCTACCTTGCTATTGGTCATTTAGCTCTTTATTACACCAATCAGGTGTTTTAGACAGGCACAGTAACACAGCTTCACAGAGTTAAATAAATGCAACATAAAAGAATGCAACACATCTTTGCATCATTAAAACAAATGTCCCACAGCATAAACAGACATAGCATAAATCTTAAGATAATATTCAACAATGTATTATTTTGGCCTCTGTAAGAATAAATAAATAAATAAAAAATAAAAATTCTTTCCATAACTAACCTTAGATTTTTCTCCTTTATTCTAACAATGGCAGAGGAGGTAGAAAATTTTCATACTTTGAATATATATATATATATATATATATATATATATATATATATATATATATATATATATATATATATATATATATATATTCCAGGAAAACAACAACATATATAATCCAGAAAAAGAAACAATGAAGCGGCAGTGTATGCCCTGACTCCAGCTCCCTCTGCTTTTCTGAACAACCAGTGTGAGGCCTAAGGAACCACATTTTGTTTTTAAATATTCACTAAAACAGAATAAAATCACCAAGTAAGGAAAGTGGAACAGAGTCATCCAGCTGTGCTTCTGCCACTTTAACACCAATTCTCCTAGCGTCTGGGGCTTCTGGTACAGTCTCAATTCTGGTTAGAAAGCAAGGCAGGGCCGAGGACCTGCCGCCTCTGGTGACACTGACAGACGAGCAGACAGGAGCATGATCTGTGCAAAAACCCACCCTGAGAATCTGAAACTACCTTTCCTGTGGTGATCTGAATGCCATCTAGCTGCTCCGAAACTCCCTCCCTATCCCGGCCCCTTCTTCAGTCTTCTCCTCCCTGCCTGACCCCAGCTCTCAGCTTTAAATGTACGAAGACACTGTGGCCTCTTCCAGGCTGTGCTTTCCTTTAGTTTACAATACTGATAACCCTCTAGAGCTTCCCCTCTGGTCCTTTCCTCCACACTCAGACCTCTCCAGAACTAAAGCCCCCGCTGGACACAATAGGTGTTAGTTTTTTTAATTAAGTATCCCCTAAATTTACACTACTCTATTTCACCTCACCCCACGCTTCATTTCTTTAGACTTATCCAAAAGGCTTGCCATTATTACAAACCTGAGATAAAAACTTGAAGAAAAGCAAAATGCCCAATTCCGTGACCCATGGGACTTCACACAAGCCCCTACCCCCCACTTATGACCCTAAGGCACAATGACAGCTGTAAACTCTGTGGGGTCTTGAGTTTGTTTCCAACCCCAGCAAAGGGAAGGGAAAGGCTCTGGTCTATGTGGTCGACTGGGGTGTGGGGGAGAGGGGGCATGCTCACACCCAGTGGTTGCTCTGATGTACTTTCTTCGGGTTCATGGTAGGTCTCCATCACAGGACAACTGGAGAGTGGTCACTGTCAAGAGCCATCCTGAAACAGAGCTAGCTCAGAGAAAACAACTCTCTACTAGAACCTTAGCTGGTTGACCTTTTGAAACCAGTCAGCCATAGGATGGAGGTGGTTTCTACGTAGTTACTAACATCCGCTTGAAGATGTATCAGATGTTTCCTTGGAGCCGAACACCAGGGAACTGAATACAGTGAGGCTGTAGTTCACCGTATAACTACCACAATGAAGAACTCACAATTCTTAAGCAGGCTTTGGGTCCTAACAGCTGGGTTTCAGGGCCGGCAGGATGGCTCGGTGAGTAAAACGTCTTGCACTGAGACTGCTGACCTGAGCTCAATGCCAGAGACCAATCAGTGAAGGGAAAAACTGAGTCCTGCCAGTTGTCTTCTCACCCCCACATGCACATAAATAAGTTCTTTTTTTTTTTAAAGATCTCATCAAAAAGCTGTGTTTCCATATTCATTTTACAGAAAAAAAAAAAAGTCAGTTCACAGGAGCCAAATGCAGTAACTACCTCAGCATCTAGACAAGTCTTCAGTTTTCTCTAGTGAACTAACGAAACAAGACAACCATCAGGGTGAAATGATGGCAGCAGCTCACATGTTTTGTGTCTTCCTCGTGTCTGGAACTAAGTACTTTCTGATAAATCGCTATCCCAACAGCCTACAGGTCAGGCATATCATTAGCCCCAGTTTTGGATGAAATGAGGCACAAGCTAGTTCAAACCTTCTACTCCTGACACACACAGGACATGTATGTATGTGTAATGTATTTGTATGTGTAAATGCATATGCGTAAGTATTTGAAGATGCTTTAAGTAGGAAGAATTAACTCTGGGTAGCTGTGTATTATGTGGTCTAGTCCCAAGCTGGTGAGTACTTCTGAGATATGAGGTGTAGGCTGATATTACTAAAAGGGAATGGTCTACTCCAGGCAGACAGATACCCTAAGTATAGACCCATACCCTCCCTCTTCTGCCCTTCTAATCAGGAAACAGAGAAAGAGATTCCAGACGAATTTAATCTTTACTCATCTTTTAAGCTTTAAGTCTGTCCTTCAAAATATGAGGTTCATAACTGTAGTACCGTCCTGGCATACCTCAGCATAATATGAAAATAAACTGTGTCATTTTATTTTCATTTGCCTGTGGTCCTGTCCAGTTCCTGACTGTTGCTCTTCACAACATGGCTGACATTTTCTTATCATGGCATTTGTCTCCTGCATTGTCCCAGAGTCACCTCTTTCTGAGATTGCTATCTCAAGGATGACTGTCAATGGGGTTCCCATTGCTTGGGTGGATATTCTTGGAATGGTAGTCCAAAAGATGTCTATTTAGAAGATTCTCACTGTGCAGGTTGTTGCTCTAAAAATGGTCCCAAGGATGACTCTTTAGAGGACTCTTGTTCAAGCTGTTGCTCTGGGGATGGTGGTCCCAAGGCTGACTGTCCAGATACCTCTTGTTCTAGTTGTTGCTCTGGTGATGATGGTCTCAAGGATGACTGTCTAGATACCTCTTGTTGTTCAAGTTGTTGCTCTGGGGATGGTGGTCCCAAGGGTGAGTGTCCAGATACCTCTTGTTCTAGTTGTTGCTCTGGGGATGGTGGTCCCAAGGGTGACTGTCCAGATACCTCTTGTTCAAGTTGTTGCTCTGGTGATGGTGGTCCCAAGGGTGACTGTCCAGATACCTCTTGTTCTAGTTGTTGCTCTGGGGATGGTGGTCCCAAGGGTGACTGTCCAGATACCTCTTGTTCTAGTTGTTGCTCTGGGGATGATAGTCTCAAGGCTGACTGTCCAGATACCT